GGACTGCAACTTGTGTCGACAATAACAACTTGGATTAGCCAGGACTTGATACTGAATTTTCATTGTAGAACACGAATATCAGAAATCTTGAACTTGAACTTCCCACACTTGCCAAAGGTGGATATCCCCGCACTTGACCCGCTACTTTTTCGTCTTAAACTGACTCCAGCTACTGGTGTGTTCGGGTGATTTACCATCCAGAAGTGCTCATCCCCGCACAAAGCATTCACACGATCAAAATGATTACCTTAAAAGAACAGGGAGACAAATCTCAGTAACATATTATCATTGTCACCATCTTGGTAATCGTTGTCGTCAATTCAAAGTCTGAACTCTATACAAAATCTTGCTTGGTTTTCCACTGCCTATATTTTATTTTTAACGGTGAGTCTTTCTGATAAATATCGGTGACAGGAAAGAGAACGGGCATGGCAGAACAAGAGATCTGATGAGAAGAGCAATAGCTCAGCACGTGCGTTTTAAATCTCTTCACATTTCCAGATGTCCTCTGAAATTAACGCGAAAGCACCAAAATTTGCGGTTTTTGAGAACGTAAAAACGACGGAAAATTTGCATAACTGAGAGTTTTCATATGATCTAACTACCATTCAAGCATGAACAATATGCAAACTAGTTCTGCATTTGGTAAAAATTTTAAATGTCAGACCTCTCCTGTAATCGTTTCCATGAACAAGGGAAGATAGACGGATTTCACTAGGCTAACTTATACCGTGATGTTCATTATCCGTTTTGACAGTTTCGTGAATTAAATTTGAGAATTGTAGAAAACAAAACACTTTTAAGCAACCTATTTTAGGCCTATAAGGCAAACTTCCCTTGTTGGCGTTACAAGGTTTCTCATTCAAGGTTTCTCGCATAGGTTTTTACCCTCTGGGCTGAGATATTCTTCTTTCCAAAGCTCATCCAGATCAAGGTCGAATTCTGAAACAGCGGAAGTATATAAACCACTGGCCCTGTAATAATAAAACAAAACCAACGGTCGTTACTCCTTCAAAAATTTTCCTTGACGGAAATCAATAGCAATAAGTGACTGCTTTTTTTAAGCAACGTTAAAGCTTGTTACGAGTTTGAGTTCACCCTCCCCTCCCCGTGACTTTTCATATGGTCCATACTTCTTAAGGACATACGAAACACTAACCGAATATCTTACCAGTCAGGAACGCTTCCAAAAATTGCAAAACATTTCTGAGTTTCCAAGAACGTTTGCTTGTATTTGATTCGTTTCCAGCTTCCAGATACAGATATAAACACGCCGTCAACTGTGGACGAATCAATTGCATTTATTCCAGTACAAGGGAGTAGTGACTGACGCTCAACTTCGATAACTACTCCGGATCCACTTTCAACAGTTTTCGTTGCAACAACATAAGTTGTACTTTTTACATCCACGTCACCGACCGAAACGTTATACCACCCTAAACAGAAAAAAATAAATACACCCATTAAAAGTCGGGTATACACTCGATAATACAACTTAGTTGGTAGCCATCGTTAAAATGTTGACAATGGCGGATCCAGGGGGGAAGGTCAGGGGGCTCCTGAACCCTCCCCTCTCCTTCAAGTTCCTTGTCAGACTTGAAAGTATTTTCCAGTGGTAAGTAATGAACAGTTGCTCGCCTCTGGACTACTACTCAACGGAAAAAGGTCAGGTTTCCTGTAACACTTTCTTACTCTCCACCCCTTACCATTCACTCTTCCTGGATAAACTGAACTTTGCATTTAGTACAATAAGGCAGATTATCAAGTCAATTCAACTTACGTCTCTCAGCAGAAGTCACCTTTACAAAATGAACGTCTCCAAATCTCTTGGATGAAGAACCGAGGTCCGGCCATTTAAGAATGTTGGGTTTGTAATGTTTTTTACCACTGTTGTACCAATTTGTAATATGGTCATCAGTGAGAGAGTTAAACCAAATGTTTAAGTTCGAAATCCTTCCGTAAAATGGGAAGTCGGTTGTAATAGTACCGTCAATGTCCTGATTTTGTCCGATGATTACTTGAGTCCACTGAACTTTTTCGTTCCTAACTCCGTCGCTAGATCTCTTTGAACCAAAATCTGCATTTACGATCGTCTCTATGTAAGGTGATTGGTTAGGTTGGATTCGAACACAGAGGAAGACAAGTTGATCCTTCGGAGAACTTGTGGCGAATACGTCGGAAATGGCATTCCTAAAAAAAAGAAAACCATCGCTAAATACCGTGGCCCGTAGAGGACAC